CCCCCCTCCATTGAAGATAAAAGGACCTTCAACAATATTTTCAATGGAAACTTAAATAAAGTGTGCAAGAGTGTACACAGGAATAAATCAAGGGGGAACCAGATATGCGCGAAGTGGCAAAAAATGGTTGCCCCCCCCCTTGATCTGTAAATTCATAACATTTGGCTTCTTGGATACTTCTCTCCCTCATACAAAACAAGCAGCAAAAAAATAGAAAACTAATTTTTATGTTCCTTACTCTTCTGCAGTTTCAGATTTTAAAAGATAGATAGCTTCTACCCCTTAAAAGGTCTAGAGAACAGTCCCTTGCCCCCCCCCCCTTGTACGCCCTTGAAACTGCACTCTTTGATACTTAAATTTAGAAACAAAAACCTCATTTTACCTCGTAAATTACAAATTACGTACACAGTTCCATTAAACTGTGATTTTATCGTTATTTAGATTATCGGGGGATTTGATGATGTCATCTCAGATTATTTTGGTCACCCAATCCATATATGTGAAACTTCAGAAGGTGACAAATATTTTTAACATTACGGAAAGGGAAATCGACGAAAGAACACGATTTCCTAATTGTGGTCTCGATGGGAATCAGTTGCATTGTTAGCTCGAGGGACCCGTTTATAAACATTGAAAATGACAATTGTCAAGTTTGTAACCGCAACGTTTTTGTGAATTAAACCTCGTATTGGCCGAATTTGAAAAATGTTATTCAATAAGATTTGACTATTTTCCTTTGATTTTACCTAACTCTGTCAATTGTGTCGCAGAGATATATTATTTTCGTCGAAATTGAAACGGCAAAGTATTGTTTGAGGTAGATGTTGTCCAATTTGCATAGATTTTACGATTTTTCTTTGGCATTAATGGAATTTTTAACGTTTAAGCTGATATGATGTAATTGAGTGTCGAATTTGCACAATTTTAGCGAATTTTTGTTTTGTTTGTTGCAAATTTATTTCGTTTTTTTCGGCGAATTCTTACCAAATAATTTGTAGGGTTTACCAATGAAGCAACTTACCGAGCAATCGGAGTAGATATAGTAAACTTTGAACAAGCAAAGGTAAATCATTTAATTACTTAAAGGGAGTGACCGGCTATGTAAGGTGGTTGAACTGAGTATGCAGTGTTGTGGAAAACTTCTTTCGGATTCATTTGAGACATATTAAATTGTAAGATCTGTAAATCCTGAGTTTGAGCGCAAATTCGACGTTCAAAACTCTTACTTTGGGGGTGGATACGTTTTTAGAATTAGTTTTTTTAAATTATTAAATAACGACAACGAAAAATAAAGTAAAAATTATACATTAATCTAATTAGATTTTTAGGAACATATTTCTCAAAAGAAATTTGTCAATAAATCAATGCTAAAATCGATAGCTTCGTTGAATTTATTCGCAGATTTCTTCAAATTCTTCAAATGTCGTCTTTTCAATAATAATTCTAGAAAATCTGCGAAAATCTTTCTGAATAATGAGAAACCAGAATAATGAGAAAATAGAAACTAATAATTAAACAAGATTACTTATTTTCGATGATAAGATTAATTTTTATTTTCTCAACATGTTCCTATACATGACATCCGTAGTTTTTGTAGAACTTTTTTACATTTTATGTCGTTGTTATTTAATGACTTTAAAAAACAAATTCTGAAAACGTATCCACCCCCAAAGTAAAAGTTGTGAACGTCGAATTTGCGTCAAAACTCAGGATTTACAGATCATTAAAAAGTGTTATTTGTCTCAAATGAAACCGAAAGAAGTTTTCCACAACACTGCATACTCAGTTCAACTATACCTTACATAACCGGTTACTCCATTTAAATACAGGCGTTGTCGTTTGTATTTATTACTAACATTTTGATTTGATTCCTGCCAAAATTTTATACGGCAAAGACACATAAACACGAATACAAAGAAAGTTAAGTTTATTAAAACAGCTTCTCTTTGTTTACTTGTAAAATTTAATTGTAATTTAAAAATTGCTTGCTTAATATTGTATCAAAAAAATCCCCGATCACATATATACAACATATATAAACAACATATATAGACAACATATATAGACAACATGTTTCACTCTTTCCTGCTTTGATCGCTAGTGTATTTGAATATTTGTGTTTAGTTTATTCCAGGGGATTAAAATACATGGATTAGATATGTTCCTGCTTTGACCAACAGGGGATTTGAACACTTATGCTTAGTTTGTTCCTGACTTGACCACCAGGATCGTTGATAACATTTATTTAATTTGTTCCTGCTTTGACCACCAGGGCATTAAATTAAATACATGTATTTGGTATGTTCCTTCTCTGACCACCAAGGGATTCGAATACATGTGTTTAGTATGCTCCTGCGTTGACCGCCAGGGGGTTTGAATACATTTATTTAATTTTGTCCTGCTTTGACCACCAGGGGATTTAAATACATGTGTTTAGCATGTTCCTGGTTGGACCACCAAGGGATAAAAATACATGTGTGTAGTTAATTCCTGATTTGACCACCAGGGGATTTAATTAATTGTGTTTAGTATGTTCCTGCTTTGACCGCCAGGGGATTTGAGAAAACAAAAATTCCAAAATTGATGTACGCTCAGATACTTACTGCAAGGTAATATAGTGGTGAAGAAGTTATGAATATGAAATGGATTGTAGACGTAATTCTTATTCAATCAATACTCAAAGTTAGAAAATCAAGGACATCTTATTCAATACTCGAAGTTAGAATAAAAGGACATCTTATTCAATACTTGAAGTTTGAAAAAAAGGACATCTTATTCAATACTTGAAGTTTGAAAAAAAAGGACATCTTATTCAGTACTCGAAGTTAGAAAAACAAGGACATCTTATTCAGTACTCGAAGTTAGAATAAAAGGACATCTTATTCAATACTTGAAGTTAGAAAAACAAGGACATCTTATTCAACACTCGAAGTTAGAATAAAAGGACATTTTATTCAATACTCGAAGTTTGAAAAAAGGACATCTTATTAAATACTCAAAGTTAGAATAAAAGGACATCTTATTCAATACTTGAAGTTTGATAAAAGGACATCTTATTCAGTACTCGAAGTTAGAAAAACAAGGACATCTTATTCAATACTCAAAGTTAGAAAACAAGGACATCTATTCAATACTCGAAGTTTGAATAAAAGGACATCTAATTCAATATTCGAAGCTAGAAAACAAGGACATCTTATTCAATATTCGAAGTTAGTAAAAAAGGACATTTTATTCAATACTCGAAGTTAGAAAAACAAGGACATCTTATTCAATACTCGAAGTTAGAAAAACAAGGACATCTTATTCAATTCATTCATGAATTCAATTCAATTGTAATACTGTGAATCGGACCACTCTTTATATGGAGGGTCTCTTAGTCTTGGAATCCATATTCCTTTTTAAAATAATTTTAATCATGAGAGAACTCTAAAATGTGTTTTCAATGCTGCAACCTCCACAAATGATGAGAATTAAAATATTTTAGAAAATGTTAGATATAATGTCCTTGTCTGATTCACAACGGTATCCATGAAGCCTTAATTCAATAAATATTATAAACAACAACCTAGTTATTCTAGCTTTAAAAGGGTTTAACTCTCCATTGTATCTGAAGTGAGAAGTGCCTAATCAGTTTTGTGGAGAAACCACATCATTAAAAACAAAAACAAAAACCTTGAATATTTAAATCATACTTGATCAGAAAAATCTTTTAAAGGTACCTTGGGCCACTCTATCAATATGGAGAGTCACAGGAAACATGTTAACCGACTTATAGTTCCGATGGCAAAGATGCCGGGTAAATAATTCTGGACTTTTGATGTTCGACATCGGCAAACATGGGTCACTTAAAATTACGTTTAAACAGCTACTGAAAAGGTTCATAGAGAATGAATAGATACATTGTTTAGAAAAAGGCTACAATAAGAATAAAGTAATATCTTAGATTCGTCTCTAAAATCTTTTTCTTTGTGGTTAACTCTGCACGTTTATAAATTGCCCCATAAATCTTTACAGCTGTCAATGTACCGGGGACCGGGATTTCTTAATTAGAACCTATAAATCTTTACAGCTGTCAATGTACCGGGGACCGGGATTTCTTAATTAGAATCTATAAATCGCATCTATATATTGCTAAAAAGAAGATATCGACAGAATATAAATGTGTGTATGTTACTTATACAGAGTCCAAATTTAATGAATTTGAGCCGCGTCTCAAATCTGCCAAAAACCGGTTTCAATTGAGCACCGGCTTGAATCTCGAAACATATTGAATACAATATTAAGTGGAACCAACCATATTTGAGTCGCGTCTAAAATTTAAGCCGTAGCTCAAATTCTTTAAATTTGGCCTCTGTTTAATCTAAACCTCGGAGACATCGAATGAATTTATAAATTGCCATTTTCTGATTCTATTGATTGATAACAGACTGCTGCAGATATTTCGATAGTTATATGAAGCTCTTTAAAACTGCCCCCCCCCCCCCTATTTATTTATTTTAACAATTATTAAGATTTATGTGTAATCGTATAAAACCAATTAAAAAATTGACAATACGAAATTTTATGAATTCTGTCGATGTCCGCCCCGAAGTTCCGGGGACAAACCAAACCAGATATATCACGATTTTTTAAATTTTGCGTTTATTCTACCGACAAATAATTATGTGAAACATTTCAGTTTTATTCTAACTTTTGTCAAATTCCCTTTAAACTTTTATAATTCTAGAATTCTTCCCCGAATACCAATAGAATTGTGCCAAATACAATATAATACAATATTTTAAACTTTCATCTTCAAACAGAAAATGTTCAACTAGACAGCATCAGAACAGTGGATTGAATATAAAGATACTAAGAGTTCCACAACGATAACTCATACAGTGGTTGTCAAAATACAAAGACGACAAAAACAGGGCGTACACAGAAATTTGTTCAGGCGGGCTTGAATATTCCCTTTAAACTAATAATGTTAAACATAATTAGAAAAGTGAGGTGCAGCTATCCACGATTACAAAACTTTTGAAAGATTGCAGAAGTAAAATTTTCGATATTAACAACTTTGAGGAAAACCCCTTTTTTGTAAAAGAAATAATATGGCTTGTAGATAAAAATCAAAAACCAAAAAAACATTTAGAAAAAGTATTTTGAATTTTAAATCAATTTGTTGGTTTAAAATTTAGATAAATTATTGCTTAAAGTTTTTAGGGAATTTTTTCAGAAATTTGAATAAGAACTAGATATATTAGCATTGTAAGGAAATTTCAAAGTTCATAATCATATAATTTACGAAATTAAGTAAAATATTAGAAATTGTAAAGAAAAATGTTGAGAACAAATTGATTTAAATCCTGGAAATATTGAATTAAAAAATGTTTATTAATACACTAGGTAAAGGTGGTTTGGAATTATAAAAAATATAAATATAAAAATATAAAAAGTGATTTTTATTTACACATTTACAAACATGAACAGATTTTGCAAATTATTAAAGTTCTTTTGAACGTTTTGTATCAATTTTAAGACTGGTTCAACTTAAAAGTGTCGCAATGCCTTGGGCTTTGGTTTAATCTCATTAACTCACGTACGTAAACATTAAATTGATATTTCAACAAAGTTGAAAAGTTTGTTGGTTTATCTTTATTTACGTAAACAGAAACCATACAAAAAAAAACAAAGTAGCACATTCTTATCATAAAAGCTGCATACACTACAGTCTTAAAGTTGTAGTCCATTTCATAGTCTGAAAGGAATATAAGGAAAGTCCCGTTTCCTCCTGCTGTGGTTTAGTTCTTAGTCTGAGAGGATGAAGACCTCAAGAGTAAGAAGAAGTAGAGTAAGGATAGTCTCTGATACTCCAGCTGTAGTCCAGTTCTTATTCTGAGAGGTAGAAGACTACCAGAGTAAGGAGTAGAGGTAGAGTAAGGATAGTCTCTGATACTCCAGCTGTAGTCCAGTTCTTATTCTGAGAGGTAGAAGACGACAAGAGTAAAGAGGAGAGGTAGAGTGAGGATAGTCTCTGATACTCCAGCTGTAGTCCAGTTCTTATTCTGAGAGGTAGAAGACTATCAGGGTATGAAGGAGAGGAAGAGTAAGGATAGTCTCTGATAATCCAGCTGTAGTCCAGTTCTTATTCTGAGAGGTAGAAGACTATCAGGGTAGGAAGGAGATGAAGAGTAAGGATAGTCTCTGATAATCCAGCTGTAGTCCAGTTCTTTTTCTGAGAGGTAGAAGACTACCAGAGTAAGGAGGAGAGGTAGAGTAAGGATAGTCTCTGATACTCCAGCTGTAGTCCAGCTCTTATTCTGAGAGATAGAAGACTACCAGTGTAAGGAGGAGAGGTAGAGTAAGGATAGTCTCTGATACCCCAGCTGTAGTCCAGTTCTTATTACATAAATCTCCGGAACAGAAACAGTTTCGGATCTTTTCTTTGTCGGTATCAATTTCAGTACATTTCATTTCAATCATCTCTCCAGCTACATATGGAATACAGCTACGAAGGAACAAGTCTTCGGAGTCTGGACTCGATACTTTAGAAATCATGCAGCCCTCTGTTTCTTTGGGACATTCTATTTCCGATCCAATATCTGTTTCACTGCATTCTTCTAATATGCTTTCACAGATATAACAGTTTAAGGCCTGCGAATAGCCACAGATGAATATTAGGAGAAGGATTGACGTTGGCTTCATGGTTATTGTTCATCTACTATAAACTATACAACAGTAAACTTTCCTTTTACTATATGTTAAATAGTATAGTGGGCGGTTAAAACCGCAAAAAGTTAAAAGATAAAAACTTTGAAACCACATTTTAAAGCTTTTCTAGTCTGTTGTCTCTATAGGGCGTAAAACACACATGAAGGGGCGGGGNTATTTTAGTCATTCAAAAAATTAAAAATTTCATGCGGAAGGAAGTGCAAAAAATGCGTAGTTTGCATGTTGGACCCAAAGAAAAATAGTAGGAGAAGAATTACTATCAGTTTCATGGCTAGAATTCTCATAAACAACGATCCAGCAAATTACTTCTTTGAAACCAAAGCTAGTAAAAAGTGGAAATTAGTTCTGAAAATGTATATGTCTGGGGCTGCAAAAAGAGTTTTTACAGTAAAATAAACGGCCAAGGCGTGTGACACTTTAAAGTCGACCCGGTATTGGAAACATATGTAACTTTTTATAGCAGTCTGAATTTATGTGTATAGTGTTCTTTAAATGATTGTTCATATCTTACTTTAGAGATATGTTAAGAATATCTACTGCACTGGTTGAAGTAGTCCATGCAAGACAACCAACTGTCATTCATAAAAATTTTAAATTTTCTGTTAATTTTTTTGTTTAATTTGTTTGTTGTTTTTTCAGCCGTTTTTTTCGTTAGTTTTTGATGCTCTGGGGTAAAAATGAAAAACTGACATTAAAAAGCAAGTTTTTTATATCTATTCAGTCCAAAAATTCATTTTTTTCCTTACATAAAATTTTTTTCCCACTTCAGCATAACCTTTAGAAAAATGTTTGCCAAAAGATTTTTAAATTAGAGGAGGTGGGGGGATAAGTTTTTTTTGAAAATAAATACCCCTTTAAAGTGTAAATAAATGTATTAATTGTATTAAGTAATGTGATGGTGATTATATACTTAACACCATATTACATTTACCTGATATTTTTATATAGAAACCACTAAATATGTGACCGTCTATAGAAATACGGACCTACTAATTTTGAAAAGAATGTTTGTTACATCTATCTTACGAACTGTATTAAAACCAGAAAAAAAAGATAAAATATGAAAATTTTACTTTTATCTTCATCTGTATTCTTCTCAAGAGTTTGTTCCTTCGTTTTCTTCTTTCATCATCAGTTCTTGGATTTTGCACAATTTTTAAGCGTTTTATACAATTCAAGAAGAAATAAATTCCTAGTATTTTAAAAAGAAAAGAATTTCTTTGTTAAAATTTGTCAAAAAGAAGAAATATCTTTTAAATTTAAAAACTTATGAGAGACACAAATGTGCTATATGTATCATTAATAGTTATTAAAATACAGTTTCAATTGTGAGGAAATATTAGGGTACTATGTTGAACTTATTAACGTAAATTATTAGAAATTATTGAAAATAAATTTTGATCCCTAGCTTATTTTCGTCAAGTATCATAAGTTATTAAAATTCAAATTTAAAATATAAATTCATTGAAATCTTAATTTAATCAAAAATGCATGTTAAAGATATTTTTTCAGGCTCAAAAAGTGTTTACATCTGATTATTTCTCTGTAAAATCCTATACGCAGGAAACACAAGTCACTTTTGCATGGAAACCATATTAAGAAAACAAACAGTTTAAACAGATCTCTAATTTAGCCTTGATCAGACAAAGTGTTCAAGGTTAACGTTGTAAAGCAGAAAATGTCAGCATTACATTGCGGGTCACTTAAAATTAAGCTTACAGTCCCTTTGATGATAATACATGTTTTTATATTTAAGGAAAAGATCTCTAGCTCGTGAAAAGTACAAGGTTGAATATTGTGATTATGGAATGCAGAGTTGTCAGATGGTGGTGCAGAGTAATATTAGCAAGGTAAATATATATATAAATAAAATATGTATAATGTATTTCGACATTTAAATTTATAAAGTTTTTTTTTACAATTCGGTCGAGGACTAAAAGATCTGAGACTGTTATAAATTTAGCCCTGCATAGTAAAGTATACTATTATAGTACAGTACAGTACAGTACAGTACAATACAGTACAGTACAGTATAGTACAGTGCAGTACAGTGCAGTACAGTACAGTACAGTGCAGTACAGTACAGTACAGTACAGTACAGTACAGTACAGTACAGTACAGTACAGTACAGTACAGTACAGTACAGTACAGTACAGTACAATACAGTACTCTGCCGAAATGAATAAATTTAGTTCAACTGCTAGTGCCTTTAACGATTTGACAAGCCGTTAATACTGAAATGGACCGTTTATTGCTGTGCCATTAACGATTTCATAAACCGTGAATATGGTAATAGTATAAAAGCCCGATAACAGCTGCGCTGGAGCCATTAACAATTGTTGAAAATTTTCCGTTCACATCATTAATAACATTAAGATCGTTAACTAATTGTAATTTAAAAAACGGTAAATGTCGTTAAAGAAACAAACGTTCCGGTCTTACCTTCAAAACTAATAGCTACCTGAAATTTTTCTTTTTTTAACAGTTGTAACTAAGGGTTACCGAAACGGCTAGAAAAAAATGGAACTTTCCCAGCCCTAAGTGCAATATACTTTTTATACAATTTCAATACCTTACAGTACTGCAGTCCTTGAACTTTGAGGCAAAGAAAACAAATTTAAATATTTTTGGCTGTGAAATTTTTTAGAAAAAAATTCTTATTTTTAATTTCACCTTCCCCCCCCCCCTCCTCCTTGAAAAATAAAATAATGTGTTTTATCACATTTAGGAATGTCATCTAGTGAGCACAGAACACTATCAAATGCTTAAAATCGATCCCTCAGTGATCTCAAGGAAATAATAAAATTTTTTGTTTTCAAATTATACATTTGATCCAATTCTTTTATTTGTCCTCGGCTAAAACTGTTTTGATAACATTTTTAAAATGTTATTCCTTTTCCTCAGAAAACATGAAAAGTAATTTAATAGTAATTATTTAATTATAATTATAATCTTCAAAGAAAATTTTTTTTTACTGAAACAGTGTTTTTGAAGAGCTGAAACCCTTAGCTGAAAAGTGGATTGACAACAGGTAATTTCAGATATTTTAATGATTAATAGTTTTTTTTAAAAGTTCCTGTGTGACAAATTTTGAAAGTTGTAAATCCCAAATGTTTAGAATTGAGTTGGTTGGAACTGCTGTCTACGGGTTGAGAAAGTACACACGTGGAGCTTGGCTTCATGCCCATCTTGATCATTTGAGAACTCATGTGGTCTCCGCCATTTTGAATATTGCTCAGGTAGTTCATATGGTCTCCGCCATCTTAAATATTTCTTAAGTAGAAATGTGGTCTCCGCCATTTTTAAATGTTGCTCAGGTAGTCACGTACAGTCTGAGTTACTCTAAATATTTCTCAGGTAGTAATCTGGTCTCCGTCATTCTTAATATTGCTTATGGTAGTCATGTGGTCTCCGCCATTTTAGATATTGCACAGGTAGTCATGTGGTCACATGATCCCCCACATTTTAAATATTGCCCAGGTAGTCATGTGGTCTCTATCATCTTGGATTTTTCTCAGGTAGTCATGTGTCTCTCTCTGCTATTTTAAATATATAGAATTAGACACCCCTTATTTAAAAGGGGAAAAATAATAATAAAGTGTTTCAGTTTTGACTAGTTTTGGGCAAAACACCTAGAAACTGTATCCCATTGTTATTGATTGTTATTGAACGTGTTAACAACAAAAAAACAGATCACCTCATTTTTGGGTTAAACACTTTTCTTTTTATAAAAATCAACGGTTTGTTTATTATGAAAATTAAAGAACGAATGGAAAACAATCTTTTTTCCAACAATTTGACATCGCGGCCCATTTTGTGTGTATTGCATTGTTTTGCCTAGATGTCGGCCATGTACTTCAAATGAACCGTTGATTTAAATTAATTGAGAAACTAAACAAAGTATAATATCTAGGATGTTGACGAGGACTGGCCTCTACAGATAGAAGATCATCAAGGAAATAAATACGAGATTATTCTAGCACCAGGGGACATGGTTTGGTAATATCATTCTAGTACCAGGGGACATTGTTTGGTATTATTATTCTAGCACCAGGGGACATGGTTTGGTAATACTATTCTAGCACCAGGGGACATGGTTTGGTAATATCATTCTACTACCAGGGGACATGATTTGGTAATATTATTCTAGCACCAGGGGACATGGTTTGGTAATATTAGTACTATGTTGAACTTATTAACGTNATGTATCAGGTGACTGTAAAATGTATTTAACTGGTTCCCATTGTATCACGTGACAGTAAAATATATTCAACTGGTTCCCATTGTATCTCGTGACAGTAAAATGTATTTAACTGGTTCCCATTGTATCACGTGACAGTAAAATATATTCAACTGGTTCCCATTGTACCACGTGACAGTAAAATATATTCAACTGGTTCCCATTGTATCACGTTATAGTAAAATATATTCAACTGGATCCCATTGTATTGTGTGATAGTAAAATATTTTCAACTGGTTCCCGTTGTATTACGTGATAGTAAAATATATTCAACTGGATCCCATTGTATCATGTGACAGTAAAATATATTTAACTGGTTCCCATTGTATCACGTGACATTAAAATATATTCAACTGGTTCCCATTGTATTACATGATAGTAAAATATATTCAACTGGTTCCCATTGTATCATGTGATAGTAAAATATATTCATCTGGTTCCCATTGTATCATGTGACTGTAAAATATATTCAACTGGTTCACATTGTATCACGTGATAGTAAAATATATTCAACTGGTTCCCATTGTATCACGTGACAGTAAAATATATTCAACTGGTTCCCATTGTATCACGTGACAGTAAAATATATTCAACTGGTTCCCATTGTATCAAGTGATAGTAAAATATATTCAACTGGTTCCCATTGTATCATGTGAAAGCAAAATATATTCATCTGGTTTCCATTGTATCCCGTGACAGTAAAATATATTCAACTGGTTCCCATTGTATCACGTGATAGTAAAATATATTCATCTGGTTCCCATTGTATCACGTGATAGTAAAATATATTTAACTAGATCCCTTTGTATCACGTGATAATAAAATATCTTCATTTGGTTTCCATTGTACTACGGGATAGTAAAATATATTTAACTGGTTCCCATTGTATCACGTGATAGTAAACTATATTTATCTGGTTCCCATTGTATTACGTGATAGTAAAATATATTCAACTGGATCCCATTGTATCACGTGATACAGGGTGTCCCAAAAACATGGGAATTCAGTGACGAATTCGATATCGTCTTTGTTATGAATTAGCATTGTAATACCTAATTTCAAAAGCAATAATATTATTATGTCTGCTAGAGTTTATTTTATGAAAAGGGTAAAAGACTGTAAAGATGTGTCTTTAATGTCTCCGCAAGATGAACAGTGAAGACAGACAAGTTTACTCTGTTTGTATACTGCAATTTTCTTGTTTTACTAAGTACAACTGTATGCCTTCAAAACATAAACAAACAAAATGTAAACATAGCAGACGAAACTCTAACAGATTACAGCTTTCTCAGTAGGCATCACTACACTAAATCAAAGAATTATTTGAAAAGACGATATCGAATTCGTCACTGAATTCCCATGTTTTTTTGGGACACCCTGTAGTAAAATTTATTTATCTGTATATTGTATCTGCCAAACGCTAGATCTACAACTTTTTGGGAATTAAGAAAGTTTTAACTAACACTCACACTTTAAATTTTTACTTTTAATGCTAAAAAGAAAAAGATTTGTACTTTCTCATTAAAAACTGCTAAAATCTATAAGAAGAGGTTACAATTTATTTGAATAAAAGTAATCATGTTTCTAATTAAGTTGAACTTGTGGCGGCTATGAAAGTCGTCTTTCATTTGAAGAACTTCTCGCGGCAAGGATGAAGGAAGTGGGAGTTTGCTAATAGCCACGATATATATTTATTTATTTTAACTTTGTAACTTTAAAATCAAATATAGTTAGTCCTTAGTAAATACTCGTATTATTGCTATCCGCCAAAAACTTCTCCATATAATCAGAAACCAAATCAAAGAAGTAGTAATTATGACTTTTTTCTGATTTTTATTTCAGAAAATTAATGTATATATTTTGTTTAGGTATGAGTCAGCTAAGCTTATTCATGCTAGGATCAAACCATTTAAAGGAAAATATCAATAATGTAGTTTTTTGTAAAAAATTCTTTTAAAAGTATTTATCTTCTTAACTTTAGCATAAGAGAGTTTTTAATTCCCTAGAAGAAAAATGTTAAAGAAGAGAAAAAAAATTACATTTTCTAAAACAAGATTTCTTTAAGATAAAGTTTGATTTTAAAATACCTTTATAGGGAAGAAAATTATGAGCGACAACTAAAGCATAATTCTATACCAAAAATGAAAACGAACTGAGTCCTTGTCACAAATGAAAGATTCCTATATCTTTGCTACCAAATAACCAAATACGATCAAAGATTTTTAAATTATGAATTCTGTTTGAAATATTAGAGGTTTTCACCATAAGGTTGCAATGATAAGAAAATTTGAGTTTTTGAAAAAATCAGTTCCTTTGTCTTTTATTATTGAATTTTCATATTTGATATTTGTGTTTGCAGGGAGGTCATATGAAAATATATTTGATATTTGTGTGTGCAGGGAGGTCATATGAAAATATATTTGATATTTGTGTGTGCAGGGAGGTCATATGAAAATATATTTGATATTTGTGTGTTCAGGGAGATCATATGAAAATATATTTGATATTTGTGTGTTCAGGGAGATCATATGTAAATATATTTGATATTTATGTGTTCAGGGAGATCATATGAAAATATATTTGATATTTATGTGTTCAGGGAGATCATATGTAAATATATTTGATATTTATGTGTTCAGGGAGATCATATGAAAATATATTTGTTCACTACATGCCTCGATCTTTAAACTGGTATACAGAGGACGTGGGGTAATAATTTTATTTTAAAAACGGGATAAATTACAAAATAAAATAAGTCTTTTAATGTACTGTAAGCGAAATTATAATTTATCCTACATTTAAAGAGATGAATTTAACTGAGTAACAAAGAGGGAAGATATCAGTATTTTTCTATTTAATAAGTGCTGAGTTCAGCTCCTATGCTGCCTGTATTCTTTTAAGTCCTTTTAAAAATGTGACCATAATTAAAACAATTTAATTTTGAATAGCAAACCTGTTAAAAGTTAAAAGGGTACCTGTTAAAACGGATATGCCATTTTTTATTAAATCCACAACTTTAAAATTATTTTTAAGTTTGTCCAGTTTTTTATAAACATTTGTTATTTAGATTAACATCGGAACCTTCGAGGATAATTACAATAAGTGATCTAGAAAATGCAGAAATAGAGTTCAAGGTATTTTCAAGCACTCAGATTTAAATAGTCAAATTTTTTTTTGCAGTTTTTTTTAATTTAATAAAAATTTTCTCTTTTATTACTTACTGTTCTGGTGTAAATAAAAAGTTTTACATTAAAATTATTTTTTTATTAATTTATGAAAACATTTTTATTAATTTATGAAAACATTTTATTAATTTATGAAAACATTTTTATTAATTTATGAAAACATTTTATTAATTTATGAAAACATTTTTATTAATTTATGAAAACATTTTTACATCTGAAATTCTTTTCATTTTATGCCTTAATTTTTCTTTTGCCAAATATTCTTTTTTCTTCGTTATTTAAAATATTATTTTTTGAGTTTTGTTTCTAAATGTTTTACAACTAAAAAAATACAATTTTATTGTTTTCAAATGTCTTGATTTCAGAACAAGATTTTTTTAATATTTTTTCAATTCATTTCACTTCTTACAAAATTCTCTTAATTAGCTAATGTTGTAAAGGAACAAAGAAAGAAAGCTCGAGATGAACTTGAAAAAAGAGAAAAATCAATGGAGGGATAAATAGATATATAATTAATAAAAATGTTATATATCGCCCCCCCCCCTCCAGGCTCTCTGCACCTCTCTCTGTAGAAATGTCAATTTTATCTTTTTAACTTTATAATTCTCCTTTCTCTAACTGTTAACCTTTCTATTTTTTATTTATTAACTATAAAGCAATAATCAGAACAGCTTCTCAGTTTTCATATAAAACTATCTATTTATATATATAAATGTATACATATTTATCTATCTATTTATCTATCTATCTATCTATCCATCAATCTATCTATCTATCTATTTATCTATCTATCTATCTAACTATCTATCTATCTATCTATCTATCTATATATCTATCTATATATACATATATATATGTCTATCTATCTATCTACCTATCTACCTATCTATCTATTTATCTATTTATCTATCTATCAGGAGAAATATTCAGCACTGTCTGTGGAGGAAAGACTGGCCGTGTTATCAAAATTATAGTTTTTTGTCAAATTCATATTATTCAATCTTTCCATGAATATCGCAAAATATGTATATAAAAAAAATGTTGTATTCTGGAAAAGTTTTTTTTTAAAAATATTCTTTCTTTATTTAGATCTTGTGGAGATTATGAGAAAGTAAATTAAATTGTGTAGAGTGCATACATTCATCTACATTGTTTCTTTTATTCAATTTCCTTGCTTTTCTTCACTCAGAAAGTTTAGTAGAATTCAGAGATGGAAACCTCTGAATAAAATGTGTTAAATCTATAAACAATTGTAGAACTCAAAGAAAGGAGTGGCTCGAAATGAATAAAAAGAACCTAAAATAGCTATCTACCAGGGATGGAACTTTGTTCCCTAAACTAATAATCCCGATTAACTGCGGCTTCCGAACATACAACAAAGAAACCGTCACCCAAAATCAAAAATAATGAAAAATCTCTTTATATCCTGAAAAATACATTTAATTAACACGGTTACAAATTGTGAAAGTAATTTTTATAATAAAAAAAATGCTTAGGATCTAGTATTGGGAAGACGGGCACAAATTGGATATAAACAGTACTAAAATGACGTTTTTAACTTCTGAAATAAAATGGCAATTGAATATAAACGTAAATCACTATTTTTATGTAAATATTATTCTTTTGTTTAACTTTTTGAAACTGTATTACTGCACGTAAAGTTGTTTATACTATCTGAGAGGTAAGGTTTGGTTTGGTCCCGGCTCCGAGAGAAAATCTAAGTTAAAGACGACTTTACAACCGAAAACTCATTGTTAAGGGTTAACAACAATACATTCTAACCTTATCTGTCTATATATTTGTTTGTTTGTGTAAAACAGACGTCAAACGGCTAAACCGATCGGGCTTAACATTTTAAAGGCAACCTTAATCACCCCAGGGAGGGATGCTTATAATTACAAAAATTTTTATTTAAAAAATGTTTTTATCTTTGTAAAATTCTGGAAATCCAAAGTTGAGATGATTAAAAAAAATTAGATAACAGGAATACTTAACTAAATGCATTGATGTGTTAAAAGATTGCATTTAAAATTTTTTTCTTATTTTATCTTTAAATCTTTTCTTTATTTTTCTAGAAATTAAAAAATAAAAACTTAATCAATTGTTTTTTATATACTATGCTTGATAAAAAATTAATTTTTACTTTGAACTATCAGACAGAAATGAGATGGTGTAATTTATGGGACATTACTGGTCCGAATTCATGAGACATTGCTGGTCCGAATTTATGGGACATTACTGGTCCGAATTCATGAGACATTCGAATTTATGGGACATTACTGGTCCGAATTCATGAGACATTGCTGGTCCGAATTTATGGGACATTACTGGTCCGAATTCATGAGACATTGCTGGTCCGAATTTATGGGACATTACTGGTCCGAATTCATGAGACATTACTGGTCCGAATTAATGAGACATTGCTGGTCCGAATTTATGAGACATTGCTGGTCCGAATTAATGAGACATTGCTGGTCCGAATTTATGAGAGATTGCTGGTCCGAATTAATGGGACATTGCTGGTCCGAATTTATGAGACATTGCTGGTCTGAATTTATGGGACATTGGTGGTCCGAATTCATGAGACATTACTGGTCCGAATTTATGAGACATTGCTGGTCCGAATTCATGAGACATTGCTGGTCTGAATTAATGGGACATTGCTGGTCCGAATTCATGAGACATTGCTGGTCTGAATTTATGGGACATTGCTGGTCCAAATTAATGGGACATTGCTGGTCTGAATTTATGGGACATTGCTGGTCCGAATTCTCGAGACATTGCTGGTCTGAATTAATGGGACATTGCTGGTCCGAATTCATGAGACATTGCTGGTCTGAATTTATGGGACATTGCTGGTCCGAATTTATGAGACATTGCTGGTCTGAATTTATGGGACATTGCTGGTCCGAATTCTCGAGACATTGCTGGTCCGAATTCATGAGACATTGCTGGTCCGAATTTATGAGACATTGCTGGTCCGAATTAATGGGACATTGCTGGTCCGAATCTATGAGACATTGCTGGTCTGAATTTATGGGACATTGCTGGTCCGAATTAATGGGACATTGCTGGTCCGAATTAATGGGACATTGCTGGTCCGAATTTATGAGACATTGTTGGTCTGAATTTATGGGACATTACTGGTCCGAATATGGGACCTCATAGCTCAGAAGTGTTTTTTTCATGCTGAAGTAAGAGGAAAGAAAATGTATCTGGTTACATTTCGGACATTTAAAATATGTTGTTCTATAAAACATATATGATTTCAATCTACCAGATTTTATGTCATTTAACCACAGATTTACGTATGACAAAGTTTTCAAAATCGCATGAGAGATTGTTTATTTGTTAGTTTCATATTTTTTGTGTGACTTTCTAAAACAAATTTAAGAAAATTTAAAAATAATTTTCGATTGCAAAAATTGAATTAAAAAAATACTAAAAAATGGAAAATCGTTTTTTCAAAGATTTTGTATTACCTAAAGTTTTGGATTTGTAGATGAATTTTAACAAAATTGTGTTTAACTTCCTGCCAACCATAAAATAACTGCATTCAAACTCCTCAAGTGTACTTTTAATAAAAGGGACTGGACACATAATTTTAAAAATAAAAGAGGGGCATGCCAGATTCACAACGGGTTCCTTAATTTGATGAAAAAAATATGAAAGAAAATGTCTTTTCTAGCTTGAAAAGTGTTTAATTTTGTTGATTTCTCCATTGCTTTAAATCAAGAAATGTGCATGTCCCTTTTAAAGATGAAATGAAAATACCTAGTTTTCAAAAACAAAAACATGGATAATGGATATCTGATTCATAATAAATGCCATTAAGAAGGGTCACATATAGTCTCTAGACTACACATACAGTCCCTATAAACTACACATACAGTCCCTATAAACTACACATATAATCCCTATAAACTACACATACAGTCCCTTTAAACTACAAATAGAGTCCTTATAAACTACACATACAGTCCCTATAAACTACACATACAGTCCTTATAAACTACACATACAGTCCCTATAAACTACACATACAGTCCCTTTAAATGTCAAGAAAGTGCTGTATTTAGGGCAAACATCTAGAGTTCCTATTTGTAAGGAGAAAATAAATGAGAGAATAAGAAATCTAGTGCTCCTGTGCTCCTGTGCTCCTGTGCTCCTGTGCTCCTGTGCTCCTGTGCTCCTGTGCTCCTGTGCTCCTGTACTCCTGTGCTCCTGTGCTCCTGTGCTCCTGTGCTCCTGTGCTCCTGTGCTCCTCTTAATTTTTCCCGAGGCTCCCCCCCCCCAAGCAGCAGCTCTGGTCCTAGATATATATTTTTATTTTATGGCTCTGAAAAGAATGGTTTTATATTCTCCGGGATCTCCGGTGTATGGTAAAGTGTGAACCTTGAAGTTAGAACATCAATTATTTATCCAGTAAAATCTCAATATAATTCCTCATACTTACTCCTTACTCTATACTATACAGTGTTTTCCACAATAAATGAGACTGTAAAGACGACCAGAAAATATTTTTTGAATATGACGATTTCAATGTTAAATTAAGTCTTCTGTCTTGAATAAAATCTTTAAATGCCCTGTCTAGTGATTGAGCAAAGAAAGAAAGAAATTTACAATTTCAGGGAATCGTGAATATTTGGAAAAAGACAATATAAATTCCGAACAGTTGTCTCTGAAGTCTCATCTTTTGCGTGAAACCATGTCCCTGCATTTCCTCCTACTCTGTTATATACTAGCTTGGGTAAAATATACTGTTTCATGTCTTCTGTATCCTGTATCCTATGTTCTGTATCCTGTATCCTATGTTATGTATCCTGTTTAATGTTTTCTGTATCCTGTATCCTATGTTCTGTATCCTGTATCCTATGTTCTGTATTCTGTATCCTATGTTCTGTATCCTGCATTCTATGTTCTGTATCCTGTGTTCTGCATCCTATAAGATTAGATCCAAGTGAGAAAAACAAGGTATTATATCCTGGTGGTGTGATGTGCCAATTAGTTGGAGCTTTTTTCTTTTTAATTTATTCTCTTTCATTTTATTTCTATCTTTCTATCTTTATATCTTTCTATCTTTCTATCTTCATATCTTTCTATCTTCATATCTTTCTATCTTTATATCTTTCTATCTTCATATCTTTCTGTCTTCATATCTTTCTATCTTCATATCTTTCTATCTTCATATCTTTCTATCTTTCATCTCCTAGATTTTAGACTTTCTTACTTTCTCTCATACTTTTTCTATCTTCATATCTTTCTTTCTTTCATCTCCTAGATTTCAGACTTTCTTACTTTCTTTCATATTCTATCTATTTTCAGATCGTGCTCTCTTTCCTTTCCTAGATTTTAGACTTTCTTACTTTCTTTCATTTTCTTTCTATCTACATATCTTTCTTTCTTTCATTTCCTAGATTTCAGACTTTCTTACTTTCCTTCTTATTCTTTCTATCTTCATATCTTTCTTTCTTTCATCTTCTAGATTTCAGACTTTCTTACTTTCTTACATTCTATAGCATTCACACTGTTTTACTTTCTTTCATTTTTTAGCATTCAGACTTTCTTACTTTCTTTAATTTGTTCGTTTTTAGAATTTCTTACTTTATTTTACTTTCTAGTGTTTCTACTTTCTTACTTTCTTTAATTTTCTAGTTTACTTATTACTTTCTTTAATTTTCTATCCTTCTTATTTTCTTTCCTGCTTTCTTTTGAAAAGTGGTAAAAACTTCAGCCCCACCCACATTGTCAGAACTCTCAGCTTTTGATACTTGAATCTTGAAACCAGACTTGGGTTTGGATTTAGGAGATCTCGTTTTGGCTCTGGGAGAACTCACTTTCTCCTGTCTCCGGGACTCTGGAACCCTCACTGGTGTTTCTCTCAATTATACGCAGGTTCTTGAACATAGCATAGGCTTCAACTCCAGTAGGATTCTTGTAATCCAAACCATTCTCCGTCATCTTTGTTATCCAGGTCATATGAGTCTTGCGAGGTAATACCAGAGCCAGGCTGTTCAACGTAGCTCGGGAGTTCCACCTTAATCATTTCAACAATCGTCGACCATCTCTCCACACGTTGTAAAGGACCAGCTATTATTGTCATTTGCTCTAGACTTGGTTCGGATAACAAGATCATCAATAATATCACTAACAATCCTAGAGGCTCTACCATATTGTTGAACCAACCATTGTCTCATCTCTTGATAGGAGTCTGATTAGTTGATCAGCTTACTCTTGATCTCCTTAGATATTTGACGATTGAACGTGTGTTAGCTCTTCGTACCTCTCCCCCCCCCCCTTAATACTTCGTCTTTCTGCGTACTGAGAGCTCGGAGTATATTAAAGCACAAAATAAAAGTTAAAATTAGCTTGATATCTTATTTAACAAAAAAGTTAAAACCAATTAAAGCATGCAAGGTCAGGCCAAAAATTGCCTCGAGGCTGGAACTTTAGGAGGCTATAACTCAGTAACCAGAGAATTTTGGATTTGACGTTTCCTCATAATACGCTAGCTGTGTTCAAAATTTAAATAAAATCCATGACAATGACTTCCATGGGGTGGCTGACTTGATAAAGAATGACC